CTTGGCACCAGGGGCCCCCAGGCCCTTTCTTCAGGGCCCCAAGGGGAAACTGGAACCCAAGATTGGCAACGTGGAATCAGGGAACCCCACTGGACTCTTACCAAAGATTTGATGGTGTTATTCAGTTGACTGATTTTTACAGACCTCAAGTCCAGGACTACTGCTGGTTCTTGGCATGGGCTCTGAGGTGCATGCAGTAAGAAGGACATGGAGGAGGAGTGGGTCAAGAAGTAGAGAGAACAATCATTAGGGCTGGGGTGTGTGTGGGCTGTCTCAGCTGGCAGAGGGGCACCCAGTCCCCACTGTGGGAGAAGCTTGGAAGGTTGGCCTGCAGGGTCACTGCACCTCCGCCCAGAGCCTCTTACCTGCAGATCCTTCAGGGTAGCAGATGATGTAGGGCCCTCCCCATGGATACCTGTTGCTGACTATAAGAGATGAGAGTGTACGTAGAGATGCTCTGTCCACCTCAGTGTCTAAGCCCTCTGACTTCCTTTCTTCCCCATCAACTGGCAACATTTTCTTTTCTGCCTATCTTGGACCCTTTCTCCCAAAACTCCTCTGTGCCAACTTCTCTCATGGTTCTTATCTCCCCACCATCCCACCCTGGGACCCTTTCAGTGAGTCCTGATGGCAAGTGACTGTTCTCATTGTCCTGGCTTCCCCTTGAGACTAGGGATGAGGAAAATCAAACAGCAATGACCATATCCTGGATGTCCTGGGTGTTTACAGCAGGTCATGTACTAGGGATTAACATAAAAATAACAATGACAAATCTCATTTAAACTTCACAAAGGGAAGTCAAACAATACCACCTCTATTATACAGATGTGAAAAGAGAGAGGCCCAAAGAGCTCAAGCAACTTGCCCTAAATCATATCCCTAGTAGACGGAGAGGCAGGATTCAAACTCAGGATTCTTAACCAGTACCTAACAGTCCACTCACAATCTTAACAATTACCCTCCACTGACCCTTGGGCCCCCTGTTCCCAGGAGCCTGGCCAGCCAAGACTCACATCTCCAGGTGAGTGGCAACCATCAGCAGTGGCTGTCTCAGGGCCACTGCCAGTTGTTTTCCTGTTCCTCTTTGCTCCTGCTGAAATGCCAGGGCTCTTTCTCTGCCAATATTCTTTTAACTGTGGGAGAGAAGAGCAGTAATACTCATGAGAACTATCAGCCCCTACAGCCACATCCTCCTTTACAGTTTTTACAAAATACTCTTATACACCATCTGATTTTATGATACCAACAACTGTACAAGGTGTTGGTACAATCATTTAGTGACTGAGGGGGATTGATATCATGGCTAAAGAAAAAAACAAAAAAGAAAAGAAAAGAAAAAAATGTAACACTGGAACTTTGAAACTCAGTCTTCTGACTCCAAGCTTTGGGGTTTTGCCAAGAAACAGTGGCTGCCAGGGACCAAAACCAGAGGCAGAGGTAAAAAAGTAAACATTAAGTAGGCAGGAACTGTATGCCGTGTGGTTTAGAGTCATACATCCTCACTTGTCTATTAGTGTAAAGCAGTGCACCAGTACCTCTCAAATTTTATATCAATGTGTTCTCATGGCAGAAGGAAGCCTTTCTGTTAAATCTAGGAATTTATCAGAAAGAAGACAACCCAAACCTCATTTCAGAGAGAAGTCTGGTATACTCTTAGAAACCTATGTTACATAGGTGACCTATGTGACATCCCTAAGTACATTATTGTTTTTTCTCTTGATCTCAAGAGAATCAAGGGAAACTGATGCTTCAGAAAGATGTCCCACATTTATCCTGTGGCACTCAGAGTACCCCAGGTTCAGATAATATGAGGAAGATTCAAGCTGTCAAGTTCAGTTTCCCAAGATCTATTCCACAGAAGATGAGCAAATCTCACTTCAGAGACCACTGAATGAAGGGCAGTCTGACCCCAGAACCATGAAGAATCAGAATATGAGGTGGAGAACTCAGAAAAAAAATGTTGAAATCTCTCTGGAAAGTAGAAGCTTGGGAGAAAAGCCAAACCAAACCCATTCCCCCATTGCCACCCAGAGATACTGTTAATGTTTTGCGCTCACGGGGGAAGTGTAGGCTTTCCCCACTGTCAATGTCTATGTGAAGGGAGTAAGGCAGCCTGAAACCTCTTGCTCCTGGGTCCTATAGTCTCCATTCCCCTTCCAGCTGGAAATTTGTGCTGTGACCAGAGGAACCAGAAATGGGGTGAGAATGCTTAGGGGACTGTGTCGTAAGACCAAAGGCCGGTCATGCAGTAATGACAGTTCCTAGGCGGACTGTGACATCACTACATTCCACTCCTCCTGGTTGGGGGAAAGGACCACATCAGTGTGATGTCTGAGTAGCTGCTGCATGATGAGGGAGGGAAACACAGGGTTGGGACCCAGGTCCTTGGAGATGCCACCACACAGAACCCAGGAGGTCAACCTTGAGGTAGCAGGAGGGGAGGGCAAAGTCTGCAGCAGGGAGCCCCAGGAGTCACCAGCCCAAAGTCACCCAGGGATGACTACCAAAGGCGCGGCGTGCACCTGGGGGATCCAGGTCCTTGGAGACACGAGCCCAAAGAGCCCAGGGGGGTCAAGCTTGGAGTGGCAGGTGGTAAGGGCCCAGTAATGGAGTGGGGAACTCCAGGAATCACCCGCCCAAAGTCACCCTGGGGTTACTGCTGTGGGCAGGGACTGGGCTGCTTGCTGAAGGGGCGGGGCTGACTGACAAGACTTTGGTTGGGGGAACCCAGAGAGGCCATGGTTGGGGGGCCCAGTCCGATGTGCCTCAGAAGTGGTATGGACTCTGGCAGTGGTCTTGTCATCAGAGGGGATCTGTGGCTGGGTTGGGGGGCCATGACATGGTGCGTTTTTACCTTTTACTTTGCTGCCGCCAATTTGCTCTGTCGAATTTCTTCTGCCATCATGGGGTGGGGAGGGAGGGAGGGGAGGTTGGGACCACATCAGCGAAATCCCAGCAAGCACTGATCAACACCTCCAGTCACCTACCAGGCAGCTGTGCGACTGATCCACAGGAGGCCTAACCAGGGCCCCAGTAGAATGCAGAAATGGGGCGTGGCCTTAATGCTCCAAGCTCATTGGTCACTGAGCAAGATTAAAGGGAAAGGGGGTGTAGCCAGGCAGCAGTATGTCCAGAGGGACCTGCGGCTCACAAGGAAAGCTGCCCAGGCAACCGCTGTCCCCGCCCACTCTGAGGGGAGGGGCTGCCCAGTCTGGGATGGGGGAGGTGCCGGCTTTTGTTTTAAAAGCTTTAAAACTTTAAAAAATATATGTGTGTATACTTTATATATATGTGTGTCTGTGTGTATCTATGTTTTCCTTCAGAGCTGTGCTCATTATCCAGTTTCTATGCAAGGTCTATGATTTTGGCCTACATTTTTCATCTTCAAACACAGTACAAAAATTACCAGTATTACCATAACTGAGATACAGATCCTATAAAAATGGAAAATTCATAGCATGCCTGATGATTGATGAAGCAGATTATATTATCCAACATTCTAATAAGATAAAATAATCACAATAGTTTGTCTTTTTTTGGAAAAACGTTTCTCTTATTCTCCTACGTTATAGTTAAGATTTTTTTTCTTAAACAAGAAACGTGTCTAATATCTGTAACAACACAAAGCTTTTGGGCCGGGTGTGGTGGCTGGCGCCTGTAATCCCAGCAGTTTGGGAGCTCGAGGTGGGTGGATCACCCGAGGTCAGGAGTTCAAGACCAGCCTGGCCAACATGGTGAAACCCCATATCTACTAAAAATACAAAAACTAGCCAGGCATGGTAGTGGATGCCTGTCATCCCAGCTATTTGGGAGGCTGAGGCAAGAGAATCACTTGAACCCAGGAGACGGAGGTTGCAGTGAGCCAAGCTCACACCACTGCAGTCCAGCCTGGGCGACAAAGTGAGACTCCATCTCAAAAGAAATAAAATAAAATACAAAATAAATTTTAAAAGCTTTCAATTTAATAAGCACTCAAAGCTCTTTACCAGTTTAAAACAAATACAAGGCCCATTTTTCTAGAATCACCTGGCCTCTCTAAGCCTTGCAAATGAAACTGAATCTCTCACTTCATACTTGGCTATGACTTACAATCATGAAAACCAAGAATTGTGTTATGTCACTGTATACTGCTTGTTACCTGAATTCCACACAAGGCTGGGATCAAGGGTTGAATCTTTCATGATTTGTTCCATAACCTGTGTGCTTCTTATCCCAGACCAAACCAAGCTTTTGTCTAGAGTTCTATAATTTACAGGTAGTAGACAAGAGTGGTTCTCAGTAATGTCATCTCTGGACTAGCAGCACCAGAAGCACCTGAGAACTCTTTATAAGCGCAAATTCCCAGGCCCTACCCTGGACCTGGTGAATCAGAAACTCTGGAGTAGGGCTCAGCAATCTGTGCTGCAGTCGTCCCTCCAGGTATTTAAGAACCTCTGCCATACAGCAGGTAGAAAAATGTGTTTCCTGCTGGAGGCCCAAAGCCAGGGATACTATATGTTCTGTCTTGATACAAAACAATGACATGCAATTAAAACACATAACTCTCCTTCCTACTCCCACCCTCCATCCAATGTGTTTTATTTTTATGAGTTCAATAAGAAAATAAGTGGCATTCAGAGGTTTACTCTAACAAGTATATTTACAAGAATCAGTTCCTATCTAGCCTGATCTCATACAAAACCATTTACATCCTCTTACTGCTAAAGTTTTTTTAAAAAATCTTCACAATGTAAGTCTCAGGCACACTAGGAGTTCTATAATAAACCACCAAGTAGATAAGAATGTCCAAACTTACTAGAGAAGAAAAGTGGAATCATTGGCTATATTTTCAAATTGCATCCAAAGGAAAATTAAGTTCTGAATTTTTTTCACCTTCATACTTCCAAATTAATAGAATTCAACCAGAACACTCCATTTCTTCGAAGCCTCTAGCCAGGCAGTTTTACTGTATTACTTCTTGCTTTCAATGGATATAAAGCAGAGTCCTGGTAGGCACATTTTGTATACCTGCAAAGATGCAGAACTAAACTGTTCCATCTGTTCCATGTTAAAACAAAAGTCCTGTAAACCTTGGATGGTGAGTGTAATACTTCAGCACTAGCACCAAAGCCTCAAAAAGGAAAAGACGCCAAAACACCACTAGCAAACAAAACTAAACTCTTGGCTGGGAGCAGTAGTTCACACCTGTAATCCCAGCACTTTGACAAGCCAAGTTGGGAGGATTACTTGAAATCAGGAGTTCAAGACTAGCCTGGCAGCATAGCGAATTCACATCTCCATAAAAAAATGTAAAAATTAGCTGGGCGTAGTTGCACACACCTCTAGTCCCAGCTACTCGACAGGCTGAGGTGGGAAAATTGCTTCTGCCCAGGAATTTGAGGCTGCAGTAACTATGATTATGGCACTGCACTCCAGCCTGGGTGACAGAACAAGACCTAGATGATTACATTCTCTCCTGCTCCTGTTTACACTAAAATCACTAAGTTAAAACGCTTTCAAGTTTGGCAGGATAAAAATTAAGTGAAATGTGACTTTGAAGTTTGGAAGGAGAAAGAAAGAAGGAAGGAAGATAGGGAGGGAGGGAGGGAAGGAGGGAGGGAAGGCACAGGAGACGGACGGAGAAGAAGGAAGGAAGGAAGGAAGAAGGAAGGAAGGAAAAGGAAGAAAGGAAGGAAGAGGAAGGAAGGAAGAGGAGGAAGGAAGGAAGGAAAAGGAAAGAAAGGAACAAAGAGGACAGAAAGACACAAACAAGAAGGAAAGGAAAAAAGGATAGGAAAGGAATTAATATACATCCAGCTATTAAAAATGATGATGCCAGAATATATTTACTGCCACAGAAATATGTCCAAAACATAATAAGTGACAAAAGGCTATTATGATTCTACTTTTTAAAATATTTACATGCATAAAAAAGGGTAAAAAGCAACAAACCAGAATGTTTTGAGTGGCAAATTAAAGATTTTTCTTAATATTTGTCATCCAAATTATTACAAAAAGAATGTGATTTCCTTTATAATCAGGGAGAAGTGTTAATTTCATTTATCTATATTTAAATCTCTTTTCTTTTTCTTAGTTTTTCTCCCATATGTATCCCATGTGGGCTAGAATCCCTGCCTCTTGAGGGAATCCAGCCCATTTTTGGGAAGTGCACTACATAAAGTTGTCCCATCTTCCTTTTATTTTAAGACATCTGGAGACATTTTTGTTTCAAATTCTCTTATTGTTCTCAGAATATATATATATATATATTTAATATATGAAATTGAGGAAAAGACAAAGGAAAGGCTGACTCCCTACCACCCTCCTGGGGCTACTCTTCCAATATTTGCTGCTATTGTTATGTATTAATATTCACTGGGTACTAAAAAGATGGGCAGCCCCTTAGATCCTTTTTTCTTATCTCTTTCTCATAATCCTACTTCATTCCTTCATTCACTTATTTTTTAAAGGGTCATATGTACAAATATATAGTTCAGAAAAATTTTTAAATATAACTATCTATAAAAGTATGTGCAACATCCCCTTCACAGTCTTATTCTCCTTCCACAGCCAAACATTTTTAATTCATTTCTTATATATCATTTCAGAATTTATCTTTGCAAATACACATGTATATTCTTATTCTACTCTTCTCTCTCAACACAAAAATTAGCACACCATACATACGATACCATTCCTTCTCCCTTTTAAAAAACACACACAATAGGTCTGAGTTCTTCTACATGACTACAGAGGTCTTTCTTATTCTTCTTTTCAGCTGCACAGCATGCATCGTTTGGATGTACCACAGTTTACTTAACCAATTCCCAGTTGGCGGACACTGATATCATCCCTATCATACTCTTACAAGCAATAATGCCAAGTATAACCACCCACACACACCAAGTTCATTTCTGAATCTGCCTTTCATGAAGCCTCTGTTTGAATCACCACAAGGTCACAAGGCTGAAAATTAGCCCCTTTCTTAGTTTTCATTATGTACAGCAGTATGTAACAAAAGACTCCGTTGGGCAAAGCAAACGTACTCTTTGGAGATTTACTTCATAACAATAAATGGATAAACAGAACACCAAGGAGAACCATTTCTATTTAACCATGTGCATGTATGTATACAATCATGCATATGCGTAGGAAGTATAAATCAATCCATCAAAGCATTAAGCATTGTCTCAGTATGGTGGATCTATGGAGTGCTTTGTAGACCGCCCTCCTTGCCTATCAATTCTTTCTAATTTCACAACAGTAAACATGTATACTTTTGCAATATAAAATTTCAAAAAATGCTAACTCAAATTAAGTTGTATATATTCCTTCAGTCTGTCCTATATTTGTATGGTGCTCCAGAGTGCTCATATATCACTTCATTAAAAAAATTTATTTATTTTTCAAATATAGAGATGGCAGGGTCTTGCTCTGTTGACCAGGCTGGTCTTGAACTCCTGGACCCTCCTGGATTCTCCCACTTCTACCTCCCAATGTGCTGGTATTACACAGTGTGAGCCATCACGCCTGGCCGGCTTCATTTCAGAAATCTTTCCCCAGCACTCCATATATTACAAATAATTCCTTTTTCTTGTTTAGAAAGCATTTTAGTGATATCTCTATTACCTCACTTGTCACATGATAATCAATTGCTCACCCATCCATCTCCCTTCATTGCTCATGAGCTCCTTGAAAAGAGTCTGATTTTCAGCACCTTGAACAGTGTGCGACACTTACATGCTTCATACATAGAGAAGGAAATGATTTCACTACAGTGTAATTATTCCCAGAATTCAATATCTGTATTTCTAAATTGTTCTAGATAGTCTGCCAACAACCTGAGAATGTTATGTTTTTTCCCTAAAACTTCCATCCATTACCGAGTGTCTACAGTCATAGTTAACTCAATTGTGACATGACCTCTGGCCAAGCCAAGTCATAGTTTTTTTTTGGTTTTTTTTTGTTTGTTTGTTTTTTTAGGTGATTTTTAATTTTAATTTTTGATTTTGATTGTTTCCTTTTTGTTTTTTTAATGTAGCAGTGTTTGGTAAACTTCAACATCTCTACATTCCTGTGTCTTAGCACCTACTGGTCTCTGCTTGGAATAATGTCTCAAGATTTTAGTCACCTGGAAAAAATTTCTACTCACCCTTAAATAATCAGCTTAAATAGGCCAGGCATGGTGGCTCATGCCTGTAATCCCAGCACTTTGGGAGGCTAAGACAGGGAGATCACCAGAGGTCAGTAGTTCAAGACTAGCCTGCCCAACATGATGAAACCCCTACTTTACTAAAAATACAAAAAAATAGCTGGGTGTGGTCTCGGATGCCTGTAATCTCAACTACTCAGAAGGCTGAGGCAGGAGAATTGTTTGAACCTGGGAGGCAAAGGTTGCAGTGAGCTGAGATCGTGCCATTGCACTCCATCTTGGGTGACAGAGCAAGACTTCATCTCAAAAAAAATTTAAAAAATTTAAAAAAAAAATTAAAAAACTTAAATAATACCTTCTCTGAGAATCCTTTAAATCTTCCTATTCTTTCAGGAAGAGTTGAAAATTTCACAACTTTGAAACATTTGTGCCTCTATTACTATGTATCAGGCACTGAACTGAGTACCTACGATAGAAAGATGAAACTGTAGATCCTGCCCTCATGGAGCTCATGGTCTAGTATGGAAAACAGACATATG